TGTAATTTATTCCAAGGAAATATTTGAATCTTCTGTCTTGTCTTTGTCCCCCAAAGCACTCAGCAAAATTTATGCTTTTTTTAAAAAAAAAAAACTGAATGCTATGGAAGAAGCTTGTTGATTTGTCACGAAGAAACAAAGATTTCCACCAATTTTTCTAAACATTATATAGTTTTACATTTTACATTTAAGTCCATGACATATCTCCAGTTAGTTTTTATATAAGGTGGGAAACTTAGATTGACATGTTCTCCCACCCCTCCACTTATCACTCAACTGCTTCCGCAACCTTTTGTTGCAAAAGCTGTCAAAAATCAGTTGGGCGAGCCCAGAATGTAATCCCAGCAACTCTGGAAATTGAGGCAGGAGGATTACAAGTTCAACGTCAGACTCAGCAATTTAGCAAGGACCCAAGCAACTTAGTGAGATCCTGTCTCAAAATAAAAATTAAAAAGGGCTGGGGTTGTAGCTCAGTGGTAAAGTGCCACTGGTTCAATTCCCAGTACCAAAACAAAAAATAGTTGGGCATGTTGTATGGATCTAATTCTGGGTTCTCTTTATTACTTAGTCTTCATTACTATATATAATGAGTCTTAAAATATGGTTTATTGATTCCTCCCATTTTATTTTTCTTTTTCATACTTGTTTTAGCTATTGTACTACCTTCCTTTGTCTTTCTAATCTTGTCTGACCTCTACAAAAATTCTTGCTGGAATTTGATAAGACTTGTAATAAGCCAATACATCAATTTGAGGAGAAGAACTATGTTGAGTCTTCCAGTCTGTGATCATGGTATGTCTATTCTCTTAGCTTTTCTTTGTTTTTGTTTTCTTTTTATAAGAATTATAAGGTTTTCAGCATATGAAATTGCTGCACGTGTTTTACACTTTTTTCATTAAAAAAAGTTTATATTTTTTCTTTTTTTTTTAAAGAGAGAGAGTGTGAGAGAGAGAGAATTTTTAATATTTATTATTATTATTTTTTTTTTAGTTTTTTCGGCGGACACAACATCTTTGTTTGTATGTGGTGCTGAGGATCAAACCTGGGCCACACGCATGCCAGGCGAGCGCGCTACAGCTTGAGCCACATCCCCAGCCCAGTTTATACTTTTTTCATTTAAAAAAAAAAAAAAAAGACTATCATAAATGCTGGGCTTCCATGAACACTAAGCAAGTATTCTACTCCTGAGCAACAACTTTAGCCCACTTATTTTTATTATTCATTCCCACATGTTCATCACTATTTTTCTGAGAGCATTGTAATAAATTCATTTATGTTGAATTTTGTCAAATATTCTTTCCTGTATTGATATGATCATGTAATATTTTTTTCTCTTTTCTTTTAGCTGGTTAATATGGTACATCACATTGATTACAAATATCGAATCTACCTTACCTCTTTAGAATTTACCCCACTTGGCTTTGTGGTTCCTGGATTCTCTCTGTATTTTATATTTAATTTCATAATCCATTTTGAGTTAATTTTTGTATGAAACTTTGTTTAGGTATTAGAACAGACTCAAAGAAGCTTTCTCTTTAATAGCATATTCAGGATCTTTGCATTTGTTTTAGTAGTTCAACAGTCAAGAGTAACTTCATTTCTGTATTATTGGGCACTTTTCAGCCAAATCTCCCAAACCTATTTATAAATATTTATTATGTAGTCACTGCAACTATCAGAATGAAAGGTACAGATGCTAAAGAGCTCATATCACAGAGTATAAAATGCATACCTTTATCTTATTCTTTGTTTCTGTAATCCTCTTACTGTCTTCTTTCATACTTCCTACTATGACAACTTACAATATTTAAAAATTGCAGTTATTAGTTTGAATAAATTAACATATTCATCAAATGGAGGGAAAAGTCAACAGATCTTTACTGATTTCCCATATGTTTGTTAAGAACTCTGCCAAGTAGCTGTTTACCACACAAGACCCTAACCTCAAGATGCTCAGAGGAGAAGGAGAGGAGAAAAACAAAAGGAACTGAAATCCCAAATTTGGAGAAAGAAATGACAAAATAGAGAAAAATGTAGGTTATTAAGGGACACAAACTGGGCAGGTGGTGCCCACCTGTAATCCCAGCTACTCAGGAGGGATGCCCTCAGTGATCTAAAACCTCCCACTTGGCCCCCCTTCTCAAAGGCTCCATACTTCATCATAGCATGATGGACTGCAGAACAAGCCTTTAACACGTGGGGACACCTGGAGAACATTTCAGATCCAGACTATAGCACAGATGTAGGCCATTGTGAGGATGAGACTTTTATTCTGAGTAGATGGATAGCCATTGGAGACTTTGTACAGAGAAATGGCATTCTGATTTACATCTTGCTTTCTGGCTTCTATGTTGGAAATAGATTGCAGGATGGAAGGGGAGAAACAGAAAGACTGCAAAATGGTGAATGACACCAAGTGAACAGCAGTGGAGGTGGAGAGACATGATCAGCTTTTGGATATATTTTGAATTATTTAAACTGATTTGCCAATGAATTGAAATGTGGAGTATTAAAGGAAAGAAGCAACTATGACATCAAGATTTTTGGTCTGAGCAACTGGAAAGCTGGCATTGCTGTAACTATTGATAGGAGAGATTGCAGGAGGAAATGGTCTAGAGAATATAAGAAGCTTGGTTTTTAACACAGTTTGAGATGCCTGTTAATGAAAAGTTGGATATAAGATTTGAGTTCAGCAGATGGGTCTGGGCTAGAAATACAAATTTAGGAATTTCAACATTTAGATGGTTTTAAAGCTGTTCAACTGAATAAAACAACTTGAGTGGGTGTAGAAGATAATGAATTGTACAACTAAGCATCGGGCCATCTCAGTGCTTAGAGATTAGGGAGAAGCGGAAGAACCAGCACTGGAGTTTGAAAAACAGTGCTAGAAAAATAGAAGGAGAATTGAGAATAGGTGATGAAGCCAACTGAAGAAAGTGTTTCGTGAAGGACAGAATAATAAACTGCTATCAGATGTTCCTGAGAAATCAAGTGAAGGCCCAAGAGTTGATTTAGCAGTATTGAAATCTTTTGAGATCTTTGAGGAGCTGTTTCAATGGTGGTGGTGGTTGGGGACAACAGAGCTTGATTAGAGGGCTTTCAAATGGGAGAGGAAATAAAAATGAGTAGTATAATAGAAAGCTCTATTAAGTTTTAATTGTAAAGAGTAATAGAAAACAATCATAGTTGGAGAGGAATATGGGATTAAGTCAGCATTTTTTTTCTCTAAGATGGGAGAAATTGGTATCTTCATGGGAATCATCCTAGTACGAAGGGAAATTAATCATTATGGAGAGGGAGCAGTTGTTAAGTGAAATCCCTATGTATGTGAGAGGATGTGCACAAATAGAAGGTTGGCCATAAATGGATGAACTGTCTCTGCTCTAGAAACAGAAAACATGGCTACAATAGCAGGCAGATTGGTAAATGTGGGGATTGAGGATATGTGAGTTTCTTCTTGATTGCCTGTATTTTTCTTATGAAATAAGGAGTAGAGATTTTGGAGATGTAAAGAGAGAGAAATCTATAGCTGCATTGGGAGCAAGTGGGATAGACAGAGCATTAGATTAAGCCAGAGGTTCTAGTTTTGCCAGATAAGTAAGAGAAATGGAGAAAGAAATAAGGAAATGATTATAGTGATGGATCAGAGACCAAAGTTGGATAGGAGAGAAATGAAGACAGTGAAAAAAAGGCAAGGGTGCAAAAGTGGTAGAATCAGTGGAGTATAGATACCTTGGGGTCTAAAGAATTGTGATAACAATTAAATCCTGGCATTTGTGTTGCTTTGGGTTTGTATGCAGAGTGCTTTAGTTGTATTTACATAATAAAGACCCCATGTGGTAGGTCAGGTGGATGGTGAAGTTGGTGATAATGATTCTCATTATGTAGATAAGGCAAGATCCAAAGAGGTAAAAGATTTAGTCAAAAATCATGCAGCATGTTGGTGGAAAAGCATTCACTCACCAGTGTACATAAAGTTCTCCAGTGTAAATAATCTTTTTACCGCTCTGTGTGGTGTCTGCTCACAGATTACTTAGTCTTATTGAAGAGAAGAGATGTAGAACATAGCATAAGGGAATATGTAACTAAGCTTTAGATTCTATAGTATGGCATGATATAAGGAGTTTATTCATTCAGTTGAGTGCTTGGTATTGTAAGTCCTAGAGATATATATTGCAGTGGGAAAAAAAAGTCCTTGAAGTTACGAGATTCAAAGAAGTTTTAGAAGCATTTCTCTAAGACATCATAATTTGATAAAAAGCACATTGTAGGAAGTTAGGAAACTTACTTTTCCACTACTTGCTGTTCACATCATTGCTTTAACTTACCATACCTTAGTGGGGTTCCCCATCTAAAACAGGAATTCCACATCCTATTTTTTGGTAATGAAATTGTTTCCACAGTGAAATGCTGCACTAATGTGCATTTTTAAAATCATCCTTCATTTTTGAAACTCTGGGGAAATCTGAAATGGAAATGTAGACTGTGAGCAAGCAGTAGGTCCATGGGTCTCCATTCTTAACCTGATATTTGAGGACCTAAAACAAGTTTTGAAATTGAAGCACAGTGATGTGCATCTATAATCCTAGCTCTAGTGGAGACTGAGACAGGACTGCAAGTTCAGGGCCAGCCTGGGCAATTTAGCAAGACCTTGTGTCCAAAAAAAAAAAAAATGTTTTTTTCTGTACTAAGGATTGAATCCAGGGGCATCTACCACTAAGCTATACCCACCCCAGTCCTTTTTAATTATATTTTGAGATAGGATCTTGCTAAATTGCCCAGGCTGAACTTGAATTTGTAATTCTTCCTCAGTCTCCTGAGTGGCTGGGATTTTAAGCACATGCCACCAAGCCCAGCTTCAAAATAAATATTTTAAAAGGACTAGGAATGTAGCTTGATGGTAGAGCACTTACCTAGTATGCATGAGGCAAAACATAAAAAAATTTTTTTGAAATACCTAATGGCATTTCCCCCTTCTTGCTCCTACCTGATGCATTTAGGCCTGGAAGAAACGCTGGTTTATCCTGCGGAGTGGCCGGATGAGCGGCGATCCAGATGTTCTGGAATACTACAAGAATGATCACTCCAAGAAACCCCTGCGCATCATCAACCTGAATTTCTGTGAGCAGGTGGATGCAGGCCTCACCTTCAACAAGAAGGAGTTGCAGGATAGTTTTGTGTTTGATATCAAGACCAGCGAGCGCACCTTTTACCTGGTGGCTGAAACAGAGGAGGACATGAATAAATGGGTCCAGAGCATCTGTCAGATCTGTGGCTTCAATCAGGCTGAAGAGAGCACAGGTATGAGAACAAACACAGGCCTTTTCCAGAAGGGGCAACGATGAGGCGGCCAAACTCAAGCTAAGGTTTCCTCTTTGGCAGGAGTAATAGGCAAAAGATTAAAATGTGAAGGAATTGGCTAAATATTAGAGGGACACCTGGTGATAATAATATTCCAGTGGAAAAACCAAGAAATGTTGGGTTTATGAAGCTAAAAGTATTTTGTGATGTTTCTTCAAGTATATTGACACCACTGCCATTTCTCAGACTTCAACCTTTCTCCCTTTCCCTCAGCTCTGTAGCACCCTGTGCTGTTACCTGTCAGCCACACCATAGGGAAGCTTTCACCTGACCCYTTCTCTAGTCCATCTTTCTTTCCTAGCCCATTTTTTTCAGACCACTCTGCACAGTGTGCTCATTTGTTTATTTGGCAAAATTTGATATATAATACTGTTTTCATTTATATTCCCTTAGAAGGGGACAAGTGAGAAGGTGAAATACTGATTTTATGTTCATGCTTTAATAACTGTCACAAAAAAATAGCTCAACTTTTGATGAATTTTAAATTGCAAAAATGCTCCTTGGCATGGGCATTTGTTTGGGTTCATATCAAGCTCTCCAGGATGGCTGAGGAGCAGATTTTTTTTTTTTAATAGGTAGGCAGATAGTCATAATCAGTAATTCAAGCTTTGGTTGCCTAACAGAAAATGGAGGAGCAACATTTAAAAACATTGGTGCCAAGGACCCATGCCAGATGAATTAACTAAGAATCACTGACTAGTGCACCTAGGCAGTAGTATTTTTTAGGTTTTTTTGTTTGTTGATTGAGGCTGGGCTTGACTACTGGACCTGAATACAGAATGCACATGCTAAAGCATTCTACCTCTAAACTATCCCCTAGCCAAGTAGCAGCACTGAGTAACAAGGGTCCCGTCTCAGCAACCATTTCCTCTGACTATTTTAGGCTTTGAAGGCCAGATACAGTCTTTTTCATATTCCTGTAATTGTTTTACAATTCTTTGAAAATGGAAGATCATGAGCTAAGGCTCATTGACAGCATCAGCATCATCTAGAAAGTTCTTAGAAATACAGATTCTTGGGCCTCACCTCAAACTATGTGAGTTAGAAACTCTAAGTAAAGCCCAGCAATGTGCTCTGGAAAACCCTTCAGGTTGTTTTGATGTATGGTTAAGTTTGAGAACCACTGGTCTAATCCCTTGCCACTCAGGATGGCATTTGTGGACCAGCGGAATCTGCCTCTTTTGGGAGCTTGTTAAAAAGCAGAATAGAATAGAATACTTTCAACCAGGTTGTGAAAGTAGTACAGCAGCTTCCTATATACCTTTCACTGAGCTTTCGTTAGTGTTAGTTACCATGGTACAATTATCAGAACTAACTGATCAACATTGGTACAATACTGTTAACTACAGGTTATATGGGTTTCACCTATTTTCACTCATTTCCTTATTCTGTTCAGGAATCGATCCAGAATGCCATGTTGAATTTATTGTGTCTGAGTCTCCTCCAGTTTATGACAGTTTCTTGGTCTTTCTTACCTTTCATAACCTTGACCCCTTTAAAGAATACTGCCTAGGCATTTTGTGGGTGTGGATGATGTTTCCTCATGGTTATACTGAGGTTATCAGTTCGGGAGATTACCACAAAGGTGATGTCCTTTTCTCAGCACATTGGGTCAGAGGCAGATGGTGTCAAAGATTTTACTACCAGTCTCATTGACCTTGAYCACTTGATGGAAGTAGAATCTGCCTGATGTTTCAACTGTAAGCTAATTATCTTTATTTTTGTGACTAATAAACATTTGGGAAATACTCCAGTGATATACAAATACATTTTTCTCCTTAAAATTTGCCACTAATTTTTGCATTCATTAGTGGATAATATTTGCAACAGTGACTACTGTGATGGGTTTTTGTTATTGTTGTTGTTTAATACAGTGTCTCACAAAGTTGCCCAGGCTGCCCTTGAACTTGCAGTCCTCCTGTATCAGCCTTCCAAGTCCCTAGGGTTACAGATGTGCAACACTATACCTGGCTTTTTAAAAAAAWTTTTTTTTAAGTTGTTGATAGTCCTTTATTTATTTTACATGGTGCTGAGAATCAAACCCAGTGCCTCACACATGCCAGGCAAGTGCGCTACCACTGAGCCATAGCCCCAGCCCTCTTTTTTTTTTTAATTGTAGAAATTTTATATACCAGTATAGCAATATCCATAGTCAGTCTCTTAACAGAATACAGCAAACATATAATATATTTAAGTACTAAAAGGTATAATTGAGTCAGTAGCAAAACTTTAAAAAAATAGCACATTTTGCCCATATCAACCTGACTCTTTCTATGATTCATCATTCAGGAAACTAGGACATAATGATTTTCCCATCAAAATCAGTTTGTTCACTTATAAAACTGTAAGTAATTTAAGATCCCTACCTGCTGAATCAGATAGCAGAGAGCCCTCTTCTGTAATATACTGTTCCAGATAGTAATATTAATGTCACCTTAAAAAAAAAAACTTGTGAGGGAAAAACTGAAAATTACCATTTTGTCTACAAAATAAGTGTAATTTATACAGACCTGGAGATAATTCAAAGGCTCAAATTCTTAATGTGAAAGCAAATAGAGAAAGATTAAAAATGGTAAATTTTTTCCTTTACATAAATGATAAGAGGAGCTGAGGTTGTGGCTCAGTGGTAGAGAGGTTGCCTAGCATATGTGAGGCACTGGGTTCAATCCTCAGCATCACATAAAAATAAATAAAACAAAGGTATTGTGTCCATATATAGCTAAAAAAAGAAAACAATTTTTTAAAAAAATAAATGATAGCTATGATAAATAGGTGACAAGTCAAGTTTACAGCTAGTTAATCACTGAGAAGACAATTGCATTCATTCATGATGTTAGAGAAGATATAAGTACATGTACATGTCCCTGAGCTAGCCAAGAATCAACATGTTATTGGTTTACAATCCCAAACTATGGCTATGTGAATTTGTCTAAATATAAATGTCTAAATATGCTAAATATTTAGAGCACTTCTTAGCAGCAGAAACCAAAACATTGTCATACTAAATACACAAGATATTTAGATAGGATCTCATTYGTTGTCAAAAACAGTGACTGGGGCTGGGGATGTAGCTCAGTGGTRGAACACTCACCTAGCATATAAAATGCCCTGCATTCCATCCTCAACATCATCAAAAACAAAAAAAGCCATGATTATCAGATAATTAAATCTGACTTTTTTTTTAAATATTGTACCAGGTCCTCTCAGAGAAACATGAAAATAATACTGAGGCTCTTAATACTGTTATTTATAATTTACAGAAATTAAAGAAAAGCCAGAAGATAGAAATTTATGAGTGTCACACTCTTTGAATAGTGACAGTAGGATATATAGAGATATTCTTGTTTAAAAGAATGGAAAAGTGCTCATAGAGTAAACAACACTATATATATTTGGCAGGGGGCACAGGGGATTGAAGCCTGAGAGGCTTAAYAACTAAGCCATATCTCCAGCCCTTTTTATTTTTATTTTGAGACAGGGGCTCACTAAGTTGCTAGGTCCTTTCCAAGTTGCTAAGGCTGGCCTCAAACTTGCAATCCTTCTGCCTGAGCCTCCCAAAATGCTGGGATTACAGGCATGTACCATCACACCTGACTGTAACTGAGTCTTTTTAAGCCAGATGGAGTTGATTGCTGTTAAAACTAGTTGAGGTTTACATTAGTCCATCTTATACAGAAAATGACCTGCCCATAAGGAGCATGAGATGACATGATTTCACTCTTCTCAGGAGGAATGTACTGAAAAGCCTACCATTGCCGCTGAAATCACATGTGCTAGGTAGAATCAGGATCAGATAGACCATTGAGCTTTTCCTTGCAATTTGAGCAAGTAGCAAAGTATACTGCTCTTAAAAGTTCTTTCATCACTAAATYGGGGCCTGAACCTCTAAACAAGGAATAAAGCCCTTTTTTTCACCAAGGTTGCCTTTAGGTGACAGAGTCCAAGAGACATGACTAGGTTGACAGTGACTCCACCCATGTATCAGTTGAACCTAAGAAATGGAAAGCATAAAAGAGAAGATGATGGCAGCAGTAGTTTTACAACTTCAGCTGACAGGTTGGAATAGCTCCCTCTCCACCATCACATCCCCAGCAAACAGATGCACCATCATTCCCCTATGCCTTACTCTCTCCCTCATGTCCTCCAGACACTGAGGCACAACATGGATCCATCTGTTCAGTTTTGGACCCAGATGGAAACACACATGCTCCAGGGACATTGAGGGGAGCTGGCAGAGAATGCAGCTGCAGAGAGCAACTGGCACAGCCCCCCGACCCCAGGCTAGTCCAGCCATGCTCCCTTAACTGTGGGGTTTTAGTGGTGATTTTTCTCTTTCCCCAAGAATCTGCATTTTATGAAGATTCTCAGGTGATTTGTATGCACACTAAAATTTGAAAAGCACTGGGTTAGATCATTGATTCCCAAACCTTCAGAATCACCTGAAAGTTTTTCTTTTAACTTAGATATGCTGAGTCAGTAATTCTGATTTAGGCTTAGGAATTAATAGCTTTTTTTWAAAAAAAATTATCCCACAGCATAGGAAAATATATTTTCAAATCTTTATATCTGATAAGCATTTGGAATTAAGAATATGTTAAAAAAAAAAACTTGTTTTAGTTAACAACGAGACAACTCAGTTTTAAAAATGGGTAAAGCTCTTAAATTCTCTGAATAAAATCCTTTGTCAGATAAAGAATTTGCAAAAATTTGCTCCCATTCTGCAGGTTTTCTCGTCACTCTGTTGATTGTTTCCTTTGCTGTACAGAAGCTTTTCAGTTTGATATAATTCCTTGTGCCTGTTTTTGCTTTTTTTGCCTACACTTTTAGGATTATATCCAAAAAAAAAAAATGATTGCCTGTACAAGTGTGTGTGTGTGTGTGTGTGTGTGTGTGTGTGTGTGTGACTACAGTACTGGGGATTGAACAGGGATACTCTACCA